CAGAATAGGCAGTTCTTTAATAGTTAAATATATTCCAGAAGTAAAGACTGTTTATAATTCATTTACAAGTGAGTCTGTTACACCAGTAAATGTTGTTTGACCTGCTGTATAAAGTAAATAATGCTGTGTAAGAATTAGTCCTGGAATAGTTTGCTGAATTCCTATTTTCAATCCAGTAGATTAAAAACACAACTGTGAATGGTATAAAGACGTAGGAATCATATTGTGATAAAATCAATCTCAAAAATAGAGAATCCAGACCCTTGCTGGATAATTTAAGAACTCAGAAGTTTTCCTCAACTTAAACATGAGTGCCACACAGAAAATACTGAAGATGTCTTTCAATGTGATGAAACTGTACAAAACTCTAGAACATGACCATTAGATGACCAATGTATAAAAACCAACAGGATTTAGAAAACACATCTAATTCTGAAGTAAGCAGAAATAAAAAGACAATTTACAAAGAATTGTAACTAATTTCTAATCATCATCAGAGTCTGAATCATATTTCTTCCCTCGGATAGTTTTCTTTTCCAGCTTTGTGAAGTTTGTTCCAAATTTCTTTTGGCTCTGAAATGGTGGCTCCATTAAATTTCCACTAAAAATAAAGCAAATTTGAAAAGCATTTACTGTTTATGATTTAGTACAGTTGGTATGTTAACCTGCACAAAAATCTCTCTTCTTCCAAACCTATGGAATAAAGTTTTCTTTAAAATGCTGGTGTCAATCAAAAACTAATGATGTAATATATGGTGATTAACATAACAATAAAAAAAATAAAAAAAAATGCTGGTGTCAAGGAAGACCTATATTATTCATACTGATAGTTAAGAGTTTTAAACCCTATTTTGTATTACTAAATGTTTTTGATCCATGTTTTATTTTCTTATCATTAATTACTAACATTTCACAAAATGTACCAACAGATTTTCTGACTGAAAAGCATAGAAAGAAATGAAAGTTTTTCCACCTGTTTTGGATATGGTGAACTTGGGATTAGATCCTTTTCACTGTAAGAATGACACAGGAAAATGATCTATTTTTTACAGCTTGTTATGGCTGGTATGATCCTGTTTCACATCTTTAAATGTTTAGACAAACATCAATAAACTCATGGAATTCATTATCATTAACCTGGAATTGGTATGAAATTTTTCAATGATGCTTGAAAAATAATTGAGACATTTTCTTCTTTCAAAAATATCTAGGAAGATTCCTGGCACCTAGATTCTGGTTTTGAAATATCATTTGGAGGGGGAGATGAACCATGAGAGACTATGGACTCTGAGAAACAAACTGAGGGTTTTAGAGGGGAGGGGTTTGGGGGGATGGGTTAGCCTGGTGATGGGTATTAAAGAGGCACGTACTGCATGGAGCACTGGGTGTTATACACAAACAATGAATCATGAAACACTACCTGAAAAACTAATAATGTAATGTATGGTGATTAAGATAACATAATAATAAAAAAAAGAGAAATATCATTTGCCACTGAAAGGAACCACAGTGTCTTGGAGAAATAGTCAATTCTAGGGAGAGTCCCTCTAAGACCTCTTATTTGCACCAGAAAGAACGTGCTTAAAGAACTACTGGGACATGTGAAAAGGACACAGAAGCCTGCATGAGAGGGGCTCTCACTGGTCAAATCTGGGGCAATTTGGGCTTCAAAATAAATATTAGTAACGAACTATAAGCCACTGGATAAGATAAGCCATTGCCCGTTTTAATATAAATAAATGAAAAGGTAAATTACTGTGGGATATGGAAAAGTTCTTCTTAAATCACCATTTGGCTTGGTAGGCAACTTGTTAACCAGTGCTCAGTTATCACCACCAGAAATGAGACAAAACATCCTATACCTCCTGCAGTGCTACACGAAGAAGTAAGAATATCACTTCTATCATGTACCTGTGAGAAAATGAATAATCCAAACCTAATCTTGAAACATTAGACAAACCCAAACTGAGGCATGCTCTACAAAATAACTAGCTTGTACTCTTCAAAAATGTCCACGTATTGAAAAATAAGACAGGTTGTCACAGATTAATGGAAACTAAAAATACATAGTACCTACATGAAACATTTTAGTATGCAGGACATTATTGGGACAGTGGTAGAATTTGAATAAGGTCTGTAAATTATTTAACATTTCCTGTCTTAATCATTGTACTATGGTTACACAGAAAAAGCCTTCATTGTTGGAAAATACACAAGGAAATATTTAGGAGTAAAGGGACAATACATCTTCAACTTCCACTCAAGTGGTTTTGGGAAAAAAAAATATGTATTCAGAAAAAGAATGACAAGGCAAATGTAAAATATTTAAAATTGAGAGATATGGGCAAAAGATAAATGAGAATTCTTTGTACTAGTTTCCAACTTGTTTAAAGTTTGAAATAATTTCAAAATACATTTAATAAATATTAATATCCTATTTATTAAGAAAGTAAAACCTAAAACTCCAAAGTCAATTTCTACAATGTAGAGATAATTTAGGCATGTGTAGGGGAGATTGAGAGAAAAAGGGACAGGGAAAAGAGAACTTTCTACTTATTGAACAGCACTATGCCTACAGAATGATAATAGTATAATTTTATCTGTTAATTTTCCAAATCAGAAACAGGCATAGAAGGCAAGATGATAGGTTCTGATTTGTGGAATCAGATAAACTATTTGGCAAAGTGAACAAGGAGATAAATGAAAAATGGAAGTTGGATTTTAGATTGTTTTCAAATTGAGACTGTCTCAATTTTAAGATGATCACAGAAATGAAATTATACATTTTATCAGATTCCAGAAGACAGGAATAGCTACGTTAAAAAATCTGATGTTCAAAAATAAGTCATTATCAATTTGAATAATCTGGTTTAAATCAGGGAAGAGTCAATTCCGAAGTGTCATTTTGGGTTTCCAGACTAATAGAAAATTAGATTCAATAGGATTTGTTAGGATGAAAATTTTTAGTTAGGTGTACTCCAAGACTCAATTTTATCTGTAACTCTGATTTTGTTGTAAGATCATGCTAATATTATGTACGTTTTAACAAATGAAAAACATTTGTGAAACATTTTCTACATCTCAGCCAGATCTTACTTAGCTGCATAAAATGAATGTTAACATAAAAAAATTCTCTAAAAATATCAAGTGGATATGGAATTAAAATCAATTGTTTTGCTAAAAATTACCTGTAACTGAGAATATCGGAACAACCCAGCCTCCATTCTAAAGTTTCTGTGGTGAAGTCATCTGTATTTCCTAGGTCAGTAAATCCAACCACATAATCTTGTGTTTTTCCATCTTTTACCAGTGCTAGTGTGGGAATGACTTTGATACGCAGTCTCTCACAAAGGAAAGGTGCTTTTTCCACATTCAGCTTCAGAAATTTGGTCTCAAGATGTTTCTTAGACAATATCACCAAATGTCGGTCTAATATTTTACACCTATAAATAAAAGCATATAGAAAAACCAAAAGCTAAAACAAGTTTTTCACTTTAAAAATAAATATCATAAAGGTACATTTAATTTTATAGATCTCCTGCTTGAGTCTCATAATTTGGCAGCTGGCCTATGCTGGTGTCAGATGACCTCATTTCATTTCACAGGTTAGTTAACTGATATGAGAGGCAGAAAAATCATCCAGTATTCTAGAAAGGCAGATGTGCCCTAATGATACTTATAAAAAACAAGATACTAAATATACACTTTCAGTCACAAGTGGTTCACGAAGTTGTCATGCTCACGGTAAGAACAAAAAACTGTCATTTCTCTTATGTTTCCTGGTGTCTCATACACAGAGCTTGAAGGGTAATAAATTTGACTTGACAGAACTCAGAAGATACTTTTTAGAATTAGAAATGTACACACAGTGCCATATTTAGGAGTCATTAAGACTGAATAGTGTCCCTGAGAAGGAACTCTTCTAACTGCAACTAAGCATTAAAAAGCATAGGGTCAGAGCTATAAATATGGTCATATGGTTCTAAAGAAATGAAAAATACCAGTAGTAACTTTTATTAAGCCACTTTCTATTGAAAAGAAAAATGGAAATGACATATTCTGAAAGTTAAAATGTATTTTAAAGTGGTCAATCCTTTAGTGTTCCTGAAACAGACTACTGTAATAATCTTTTTGAGCGGTTCTTAATCACAGGTGTTCATTAAAGTCAGCTTTTAAAATGTATGGATGAACCAAAATTTTCTGGGAGTGGAGCTGGGAAACACGCAGGTGATTCTCATGCTCCATAAAGTTTGATAACTACTGCTTTAGATGATGAAGACACGAAATGTTTCATAGTTGTTACTAGTAGGCTTTCTGCATACTTCTTGGTGTAGTTATTCCTGAATTAGGACTGGGTCCAGCAAGTTCCTGGTAACCCTGATGCCTCATCATTCTACCTCTGAATGCATCTTTTCATCTATCACCCATGTAGTATAGCGATGAGATTGCAGTGAAAAATGGTAGGAGAGAACATGTTAATAAATGGTTCCTGAATGAAACTCAAAACAAATGATAAATGAACCATTATATGAGAAATATGTTCTTGAAAACTTGTAGGTAAGTCAACTCTATGGTTTTACTGGAGTTATATGAAACCTATTTTAAGTAAATCTATAATTGTACCATTTGTTAATTCATTTTTTTTAAAAACACAGAAGTGGCAGTCACACTGTCGTTAAAACAGCTTAGGCTTAAATCCTGGGTTCAAATACTCTTCGGTCATTTAGTAGATCAGTGACATTAGGTGAGTTACTTAATCTCTCCAAGTCTTGGTCTCCATACATGAAGCATTGGGATTCTACCTACCTACCTACCTCAAAGGGTCACTGTGAATGTTCCAGGATTTTATACATGAAGTATCCAGTCTACTATGCACCAGGAACTCTGATATCTATTGGATCTACCAATAAAATTTTCTAATGATTTGTTTTCTTTTTTTCTATTTTTTAAGCAATCTCTATACCCAACATGGGGCTAAACTCAAGACCCTGAGATCAGAAGTCAGATGTTTTACCAGCTAAGCCAACCAGGCACCTCTTGATTTTTCATTTTTGCTTGAAGATAAGTACTCCTGGTGTTGCACTATTTATACAACCATCAAATATATTTACTCAGCACCTACTATGTGTCATTCATTGCTGATCTAGGGGTAGGAACTTGGGAGCATGGTGAACCACGATACAGGCGAACTCTCTGCTTTCACAAAACAATCTAGTGGGCAAAAACATCTAATAAACATCAAATGATATCAACCTTAGAGACTAATATGATATTAATATATCACCTCATCACGTATGTCAGAGGTTGGTAACTGGAGAAATATGTGCCAACGGGAGAGGACAGAGTACTACGGTGACAGAGGGTTTCTCTGATACCCTTTCTTTCCTAAACCCTTCCCACAATTTCCCTTACAGGGGATTTCACCATCTCAACATTTTCATTTTTATTACCATAACCAGTAAGTCCCAGGCAATCAATCCCTGTAAGATCGGAATTAACAACTAAGTTACTGGGTGGTGAGTTTGAGACAAAGGCCGAGCAGGCTTTGCAAATGGCAGAAGAGGGCAGGGCTGAGACAGCAGCGAATGATGGAGACTCTACACTGGAGTGTGTGTCTGTCTGAGGGAGGCGGCTGCTATTCAGTATTAGCAAACTGTCTTCCTACTGAATTCTAGGTCTGCCATTAGGTTGATTTTTTTAAACATCTGAAATCTGGATTTTTAAAAAAATTGTATCTCTCAATTTTTACAAGTTGGCAACTAATCAAATTTGGGGGTTAAAAGAAAGGCTTAAGTTAAGATATAACCTTTTCTTTTAAAGATTTTATTTATATATTTAACAGGCAGTGAGAGAGCACAAGCAGGGGAAGCAGCAAGCAGAGGGAGAGGGAGAAGCAGGCTTCCCGCTGAGCAGGGAGCCTGATGGGGGGCTCAATCCCAGGATGCTGGGATCATGACCTGAGCTAAAGGTAGCCGCTTAACCAACTGAGCCACCCAGGTGCCCCAAGATATAACCTTTTCTAGGGGTATTTTCATTTTACAAGGACTCTGCCTCTGTAGAGAGGTTTGCAGATCTGGGCTTTCCAAAAGAAATCACTTTCCTCTACTTCCAGCCAAGCCTGGCACTCCCAGTGATGCTTCTAGTCAAAGGCTTGGTCAAACCATTGTCTCCCTATGAGTTGCTGGCTGAGAAGGAGTGAGTGAATTCAAAGCTGGTGTTCAAGGTGTTGGCCCCCACTCCCAACATTGTGTCTATATCATAACAGTACCAAAAAAAAGGAGAAATAATTCTTGTTGTGTTGAAAAAAAAAATTTACGTGTATATCTCTTAGATGTTTTTAAAGTTATCCAATGAAAACATAATTCAGAAAATAGCCAGTTCTATGGAAATAATCTTGATTCTTAATAATGTTAATTTATACTTTTTTATGTAACAGGTTTTTAAGTTAATCTTCAAAATAACAATTGTTTAACTTTAACAGAGACTTCTACAGAAGTACAAAGATACAACTTAGAAGTAGTTCCTCTAATTTTTTAATTTTCCTATTATGTTAGCGTATCTCTACTCAAAGATCTCATCATTTTAAACAAGTCACTGATGGAAACAAAGTTACCTGAATGTGGAGTCTCTGTAGAAATGGCAAACCACTTTTTTACTCTCCTTGACTTCTTGAAAAAAGTCTCTCTCACTAGGGATTTCTCTGTATTCCCCATGTCCTTTTGAAAGCCATTCCTAATTTGGAGAAAAGGGAAATATTACACACTTGAAATATCTTTCAGTACCACTTTACATTTTGTGTCTAAATTGCTATAATATTCTGTAATGAAGTTGATTTTATCTTGTAGAGAAATCAATTCCTCTTAGTGATTTACTTTCCTAGATCTCTAGTGTCAGTGCAAACACAGTTTGTAGGCAGGGACTATCTTTCAGCACAATTTGTGTTTAAGACAATCATCTGTCTTGTTAACTTCACACATATGTTTTCTCACAACTTCAAAAATAAAAATTTAGACTCCAGAAACTTAAAATGTAAATATCCATTTAATTTCTCTGCACTCAAACTACTAAAATCAGAAGCATTAGGTCCAAGTTAATGCAAAGCTTTGAAGAATAATGCTCATGAGATAAAGCTACTTGGTCTTTGTAGGGAGGGGAAAGGGAGGGGTGGTTACTGCAGCTCTGCAGCTCAAGAGCCCTGTTTGCTCAGAGAGGCAGGAACTGCTTCTATCCTGGCCACCAATGGGTAGTATCCTAGGAACAAAAAAAAAATCACATGATGTCCAGAAATAATACAGATACCACCCGTCATCTAATCCGACTTCTCAACCCAATATATCAACCCTTACCAACTGTGCCTGACAGACCTTTCAGTTTCTCAAGCTTCCTGCTACAGGACAGGTTCATCGTCTCAACTGGAAGCTTGCTTCCTTTTTCAGGCAGCTGGTTTTAATAAAAAAGAACATTGGGCTTACAGGCAGAAGGCATGGGCTTGAATAACTGTTCTACCACTTATTAGGCTAAGAATTCTAATAACCTTTCTGAATCTCCATTTCCTCATTTGTAAAGTGGAGATCACTGAGTTGTGAAAGTAAGACTATCAACATGTAAATATCTACAATAGTGTCTGGCACAGGTGCTTAAAAAGAAGGTGTATGTATACTCTCTAATTTTTTGAAAGGTTTTCTCACACTGAACTGCAATATATCCATAACTTTGGTCTGTGGATCTCAGCTTGGACCTAAGATTAGAGAGAAAAGTTCTAATGTCTTTCACAGGTCAGCCCTTCAGATACCCTATCTCACCTGTGTCCTTTCTTCTCTACCACTCCCTTCATTTTCTTTTGGCTGTTTCTCACATGAAATGATCTCTACATTTCTTACTTTCTGATTATCCTCCTCTCAACAGAGACTAATTCTTCCTCGTCCTTTTAAAGAGCGGCAGAAGTCTGAATGCTGCCCTCCAGAAGTGGTCCGTCGAGAAAGGGGCAGGAGTGCCATCTCCTTTCTTCCTCTGGACTTAAGCTAACACAGACTGTATTAATAGTTTTGGTATCCATTTCACATTGGCTTATGCTGAGCTGATGCTCACAGGAGGCCCTGGTATTTTCTCCTTATGTGACATTTCTTTGGTCAAACTTCTACAAACAATTTCAACTCTCAAATACAGTTCCTTAATGGCATGTAACATTTCATGGCTTTTCTTGACTCACCAATAACATCGCCATTAAAAAAGAATATTTGTTTCCTAAAAAGCTCTTTTTGTTATTAATTCTCATATGTTTAACCAACAGGTGGAAGACCTGAACCTTTCCAAGCTCCCAAGAGTGAGGCAAGCCTACTCTGAACTTCCACCAACACATGGCATCTCTCCTGACACTCAGCACACCCCTGTGCTCTTAGTTCAGTTTCTTTCAGAGTTCATGCTCCACAGGGCATCTGCTGAATGGACTCAGGCAGGATGGGCAGAGATCACAGTGCAGGCTGAACCTACCCAAGGCCTGGCAGTGGGGCAACATCTAGCTCTCACTTAGTGGTTATCACCCAAGCCTTTGGATGGGCTCTTCCTATTTCTCACCTGTCCTTCTGCTTATTACCTAAGTCCTATGTCACTAGCTGTCGTTAACAGGAAGAGGGTACTCGGTTGACTGAGGAATACTGAGTCGCATCAGCCTATTAAGTGCTTATGTCACGCATATACTGATTTCCTGATACCTAGATAGATCAGTAAATCAAAATTACTATGCAATCTATACTACTCTTTCAAAAAGAGTATACACAAAAACCATTAAAGCTTTTCTACTTCCTTAAAAAACATTTTAATAAAAAAGATCTATTACAATGCAGTGAAAACTCTAAAATAAGACCCTCTCAGTTATTCTATGACAAATTCATTTTAAATTGTTTTGCACGTTAATTAAAAAAAATCCCGAAAGGCTGCAGGACTCAGGTTTTTAATGCTAAGTATTCGGATTATTGTTTTAACTGCTGACAGTTTCATTTAAGCCATTATGTATGTTCCTTACTGCAAATCAGGTAGATTCAGTCTTTCTACAAAAACATCCCAGTTATGACAACCTTTTTTAGTTGAACTATTAGCAATTAGTAGTGTTACTTCACTGTGATTGTGAAATAGAGGAGTTTGTAGCAGAATCTCATCATATGTTACCTTAGATAATTATTAGCGTTATAATTAAAAAAAGTCTCCTGGCTTCAAAACCATACACACACACACATACACACACATTGTATTTTAGAAAACTCAAGCTATAAAAATAGAAACTCAGTCACATTACAAAAGATTCTTTCCTTTTTGTAGCAATTCTTATAAACACTGAGAGTATAAACATTATGAAAGAGATGCTACAATAGCACAAACAAAACTCCGTTTCTTTAGAAAAGTTAAAGCGCATGTTTTACTCACAGCCAACTGAAGTGGAACCAGAATTGATAATAATCTATTTCAATTTGACAAAAAGAAATGGAAAAATTTTTAATCAAATTTAAATTTGCAGGATTTATCCCAATTGGTTTTGATTAGAGTCTATGAGTCTGTTCCACACTTCACTCTAAGAGACCAACAAGGAGAGAGCTGTGGCCACCCTTCTTTGTGACCCAGCATGCATTCCTTTGAATAAATAAGCCATGTAATTGTTACATTGGAAAAGCCTGAAATAATTTCTTCAATGTAAACTGCCTTACAGCTCTCACCTAACTTACACTGATCACAGCTAAAGTATAATCGGCTTGACAATTACCTAAAAGGGAAACCACTGACTCCCAGTGCTCTTCCTAGTCCCCTCCCTCCACAACCAACAATTCTGAGCTCAAAAAATGATCTTGGGCACATGTTTCTTTTACTTGACTGTGGATTAACATACTGAGCAGGCTAATTTTTAATGTGTCTTTAATAACTAATTTTTTTCCCCAGCAAATTTTTAACAGTGTTAGTACTCTGCAGTAAAAACACAAAAACCCGAAAAATAAGTACTGAAATAAAACGACTTCAGCATGTGTATATACAAGTTGTTAGGAGCATACTGTTAAAGTAATTTCAGAAAGCAGGGCAGAGAGGTTACTTGTTTCTGCTGTTGCGCTCTCCTTAGTGCCTCAAGTCTCTTTTCTTTGAGGCGTTCCAATTCATCCTCATCCATCTGGTCCAGTTTCTGAATTTCAGAATCCAAATGTTCTTCTACTAGTTTGGTAGTCTGAAGCAACTGATTTTCCAGAACTTTTGAAAACATGTCAACAGATGCATTAGCTTCCATTCTTCTAAATGGTGTAGTTCAGCCTTGGTGCTAGGGAGAAAGTTTGCAAAGTTGGGAAAAAAAAAAAGGCAAGTAAAGTTTCCTCTCTCATTTACAAAAATTCTAGCAAGTGTGTAATTTGTCCTCCACAAAGCGTTCTGCTGACAACCAAGCATTTCATGTTACCTTTAAGAATTTTTACTTAAATGTTTTATTATTTTACAAAGGGAGAGAGAGGGAAGGGGAGGAGGGTGAGAGGGAGAATTTTAAGCAGGCTCCACACTCAGTAAGGAGCCCAACTTGGGGCTAGATCTCACAACTATGAGATCATGACCTGAGCTGAAATCAAGAAACTGACTGAGCCACCCAAACGCCCCTTACTAAAATGTTTTTTTTTTAAATATTTTTATTTATTTATTTGAGAGAGAGCGAGCACATGAGATGGGGGGAGGGTCAGAGGGAGAAGCAAACTCCCCGCTGAGCAGGGAGCCCGATGTGGGACTCGATCCCGGGACTCCAGGATCATGACCTGAGCTGAAGGCAGTCACTTAACCAACTGAGCCACCCAGGCGCCCACTAAAATGTTTTAAAACTGAATTTTCCACGTTATAGTCACACCACTCAAAGATTACTTAGAGCAAGGTTTAGGTGATTCTGATTTAGTTTGTGTTTCATTACAAGAAAGCAAAGACAAGTCTTTAAGACCACAGAGAAATGGGTAGTTGGAGTTCTACCTAATGACATATATTAACAGTGTTTCTTTTTTTAAACCAGAAGAGAAATAAAACAGAAATGACTGAATAATAGTAAAGTTTAACTGTAGTGAGGTTTTACACATACATCTACAAAACAAATTTTGCTTCAATACAGAACAGAGTTGAGCCAAAAATATATTTTTCAAGGTTTCTACCTAAATGATTTTCATTTAACTCCTGAGAAAGTGCTTTACAATTTATGTGAAGAACAGTGCCTGGTGCTCCCTAAACTTTAGTTTTCACTGCTGTTCTTTATGACCTAACAAAATCTATAATGCTACAAAGACTGATACTGGCATGGATCTACTGACACCGTTCTTAACTTTGATGTAAAACAATACCACTCCAAATGTTAAAAATACTGATCCTTTATGTAACACATGAGTTTAAAAACAGAATATAATTCAGATAGAAGGAAGTTCTATTTCAATTACACATTTTATAAAATGTAGTATTTTATGTCAGGAACAATCAGATGGAAATTTTATATATTACTACAGAAATATAATTTATAATTTGCTTATGAAAGCAGGAAGCTGTTGCATTTCAATTAACTAATACACAGTTGCAACTACTACTGGAGAACCTTAAAAAAAAAATCTTAATAAACTGTGAACTCACTGACTCAGTTACTGACATATAGCCTGGCCCACACAACCCTCTACAACTGTTGAACTGAAAAGAAGTAGTCTTCTTGCAAACTTCACTTTTGATTCTTTTTTCTTCACAGGAAAAACAGTTGAAATGCACTGATTTCATCTTTGTACCCCCAGAGCTAGCAGTGCTTGGAACACAGCAAATGCTCAAAATATATTTGTTAATTTTGGGATGCCTGGGTAGCTGAGTAGGTTAAGTGTCTGCCTTCGGCTCAGGTCATGATCCCAGGGTTCTGGGATCCAGTTCCACATCTGACTCACTGCTCAGCGGGGAGCCTGCTTCTCCCTGTGCCCCAGCACTCTCTCCGACAAAAAAAAAAAAAAAACTTTAAAAAAAATTTGTAATTTTGAATGAACATGTGCCTACTTTCTGTTCAAATTATCTTGTTTCAAAACTACGAGTTTAAAAAACCAAACTGTAAGCTCCTCATAAATGCTATACATTTTCAAGTAATTGTATTTCAAATATGGTAAAATAATTTCACACTTCCTACCTCCAAAGAAAAATGTCAGTGAGACTGTATCCCTTAGGGTTGGAGCCAGATGAGGCAGAAAATTGGTTATTGAGACACTGACTTACATATCAGAACCTGTTCTTACCAGAGGTATAGTGGATGCTGGTCCCTGGAGTTTTATGAGATGAACTCAGAATTTAATTCTGGGATAACTGGGAACAGAAGCGAGTAACAAGAGCTGTTCTAGGGACAGGTAGTGGTGGTCACCGCATTCACAAAGGGGAGAGGAGATGGTGTAGCGATCCCGATAACTTTTCATTCTTCAAACCACAAACCTGATTCTTCCTTTTTTACAGTTCATCGGGAACAGTGGGAAGGGGCTTGTCCTCAAATTACCTAACCGTTTCCTTGATTCCCTTACATGCACCCGCCAAAACAACCTGAACTGCACCCGAGGCACCTTCCGAAAAGCATCCTCGCCACTCCCTGAGCCCAGAGGGACCGACCAAGGCGAGTTCAGGTGGCCCCGTCGGCCAACACCTCCCGGGGCGCATGCGCCGAAGCCGCCTCCGCCTCACTGACACGGACGTCTGGGCCGCGCCCCTCCCCCGCCCTGGCCGGATGTTGAGTGGTGAAGTGTTCATCAGCATTGGGGGCGGTGGCCAGTTTTTTCACACCATCCTCTGCCTCACCTGAGCTCTCGGTGACACCTGAGAAGTGAGGAACTAAGTGCTCCAGAAAGTCCACTCCGGCTTCACCCTCGCAGCAGCTGCCGAGGCTGCGAACCCGCCGTCACTTCCGTCTCCTCTTTGGCTGCGGCCCTCACGCGATACAACCTGAGACGCCCGAGGAAGTGGGGCGGGGGAGGAGGGCGTGCGTACGGTGAGCGCCTCTGCGCGTGCGCAGCTCCCATCCTCCACCCGAGATTTCCGATTCTCAGCCTCGTTCTGGATAAACGGCCAACGGGGGAGGGAGCAAAGTATGCTGGAGGTTGTAGTTTATCAGTGCTCAGCCTGGCCGAGTCGGACTTCCTTAGGCTCCGAGCCTCAGGACGCGTAATGTTACATCAGAAATGAGAGATAGCTACGATCTTGCTCAGGAGTGACACTTCAACTTCGCTTCCATCGTGTTTAATGAACACTTTTTTTTTTTAAGTTGAGGTATAACTTACACAGCATGATTTTTACATACTTAACACCCGTAGTATCACTGCCCAGATCCAGATATTAAATATGTTTACCACCCTAGTAGGTTGGTTCCCTTTGGACTTCCCTAACACAAATTCTTAGATCTTGCTCTCACTTTGAATGCAAAGATTAATTTATATTTCGGGGAACTAAGGGGTGTATCCTTGTTTTGTTCATAGTAATTATTTTTTGGAGACTGAACAGACTTCATAATTCATGGACGTTACTGAGAGTCCCAATTTGTCCTGGATTACCTAGAGTGCCTATCACTGGTTCATTGTGTTTCTTTACTGAACTGCGTGCGGCTGCGAATACAAAGACACAGAGGTGTAAGGAAAGCCCAAGGCTTACTTCTGAGCCGAGCTCCAAAACTCCAAGTCTGCGTTCTCCCCAGAGATGGAGCTGACAAGGGTAATTTTCAGGCTCATTGTCTGTCTCAGGGTTCTAGAACCAGGAAACCCCACAGTTATCCGTGCGCGGCAGACGCTTGCGGAAAGGGGGCGCTCGGGCTCCCGCCTGGCCGGCTGGTCAACTGGAGACGCTCTACCCGAAGCGCAGCTCTCGATGAGCCGCGCCCTGCGTCCCCACGCCGAGGCGGCGGGGCGATGCGCTTGCGCACTGAGAGCTCACACCATATGTGCCCTGTCCCAGTGCGCGGGTCTGTGGAGAGCCGGGTGCGAGAGGCGGCAGTGCGAGGGGAGCCGAGCCGAAAAGAGACCAAAGTCGGCTGGGGGACAGTGGGTCTGTGAGAGACCGAATAGAGGGGCTGGGGCTACGAGCGCCGCTGACACACGATGGGGAAGAAGCAGAAAAACAAGAGCGAAGACAGGTACCCAGTGACTGGGTCCGCACGGTGGCGTCGGGCGCAGCTCAGTGGTTCGCGCGGGTTTCGCCGGCGCGAGGTGGACCGGGGACGAGGCTCGTGCCCGGCACCACGGGGCACCGGGCCTGGGTCCAGAATGGGCGGCCCGGGGCCAAGACCCCAGTTCCGGGAGGGCGCGGAGGGCCTCGGCGGCGGGCGGGTTCTTACAGTTGAGGCTTGGTCCCGCAGCTACCCCTCGCCCGGCCTGGGAAGAGGGGTCTCCTGCCTGAGGAGCTGGGCAGTGGTTTTGGGGTTCCCTGCCCTACGGGGAGGGACTCCCGTGGCTTCGCTGGGCCGGGGACGGCCTGGCCAGCGTGGCCCCGGCCAGCGTGAGAGTTGTTTTTGCGGCGCTATTATTGGCGAGGGTCAGGAAGAGTTCTTTCTGTGCCTTTGTACCTGTGAATACTTGAAGAGAGAGGGTAGTTCGAATGAGTGAGTACCTACAGCTAGGTTTTTAAAACTTTGAGCCGCTCAGGTGAGTTGGAGTTACAGGGAGGTGTTTAATAGGTAACTCCCTCTTAACTTCATTTAATTTGTTAACTGTTCCCAATTATTTAAGGTCTGGTTGTCCAGACTCCGTGCTTTTCGCTTTCCTTCTTCCGGCCCGTCTTTTGGTGATTTCTTTGCTCTTTAGCACCTCCCCCTAAGGAAGGAGGAGGAGGAGACGAAACCAACCAACCAGGGTCTCTCCTTTCTAACCACTTAAAAGGCTTTTAGGGGGAGGGGGTGTACGGGAGTTACGTACCCCGAGATTTTTGCAACATTTCCGTGTGTCACATTCTATTGAATCCTTTTACTCTTCTCAAAATTTACTCCCTGGGAGTGAACATCTGTTATATTTCACCTTTGTAAACCACTTACAAACTTCATTCAAATACTAGGGGAGAGTAAGGTAAATTAAAAAACAAAACAAAACAAAAAAACCAAAAACAACAACCTCTGATAGTTCATTTTGACTCAAAATGGGCATCAGGTCTTGAAGTTAAAATAAGATTACTAATTATAATTCCTGGATTGTTTGCTCAACTGACACCACTGATGAGTGGAATTAAAAGACACCAAGGTGAGTTTTGTATTTCAGCTACCAATCTGTTGGAAGAAGTTAATTGGCTTGCAGACTAGAACTTGTTAATCAGACCAGGTAAATGAGAGAAAATAAGCAGACTTCTGGGTGATTTAGTGCGACAAAAATTTCTCTGCTTTTGGCAAGGTGTTTTGACACATAGGATACATTTTTATTCCAACCGTGTACAAAAAGTAGATGAGTATAATAAAGCTTTGTTTACTAATTAGCCGGTTTCAACCGTGGTTATCACATGACCATTCGTGTTCTATCCACCTGCTAAGATATTTTAAAGCCATCTCAATCTTCATGTGTTAATCCTTCAGGTGTATCTGAAAGATAAATACTTGAGGGAAAAAGCAACGGCAGATACATCAAGCCTAAGGAATATTAAGAAGGATTTCTTAAATATTATTGAGTATCCACTCAGTTTTCAAATTTCATTGTTTTATTTAAAAAAAGTTTTGTTTTTTTTTGCACTTGGTTTGTTTGGTTCAGGATTACGGAAGTACCGTTCTTTAGATTAAAAAAATACATGTATAGGTTATACTTACATCTTTTACTTTCTAAGCTCTTTCATAATGGAATAAAGCTATTCAGAGGGGAGATACTTATTCTTGTTTATTTTTAGAAAAAAGTGAGTGTTTCTTACTGATTCATAAAGATTTTGATGAGTGATGTAAAGTGCAAACACTGGAGCCTGTTGTGAAATGATTGGTTTAGTAGCAAAGAAAGAATGCTACTACTGGTTTTTTAACCCCGCAGGCTAATCTGTGGTCTTATATTTTGGCTCTTTTTTTTTTTTTAAGATTTTATTTTTATTTTTTTTAAGATTTTATTTTATTTTATTTTTATTTGACAGAGAGAGTCGCAGCGGGAGAGGGAACACAAGCGGGGGGAGTGGGAGAGGGAGAAGGAGGCTTCCCGCCGAGCAAGGTGCCTGATTCAGGGCTTGATCCCAGGACCCTGGGATCATGACCTGAGGTGAAGGCAGACGCTTAACGACTGAGCCACCCAGGGGCCCCATATTTTGGCTCATTTTGAAGGGAAAGTGGTAGCAATGTAATTGAAAACTTATTTTCTCATATGCCATTGTCAAGTTTTTTTTTTTTCCCCAAATGCTTCATGGACTCCTTTGCTTGAATGCCTTTCAAATAATGTCTAAGAAATCGCAGGGTTTTGCACAGGTCTGCCTTTGACTGGAACTACTTGGCCTTTTTACTTTGGCATTCTTTGTAAGATGTTTTGGAGGGTAGGAGGACAGGGAAGATATTTGGGGGTGGGGAGCGAGAAGGGTAGCAGGGAAGTTCCACTACTTGTGAATTAGTTTGCTTTGACCTTCTGTATATTTAAATACAATTTCTTCAAGGATATTTTACATACTTGTAAAAGAAACAAAAACATACACTGGGAAGAAAGTCTAGAAAGAGAGCCCTGTTTTAGGATTAATATTCTTGTTTGTGTAAAATGAGGTATTTATCTGGTTTTATTCTCTTGTATAAAGATCCCCACTTGTAAAGATTGTACATTCATCCCACCACCCCTTCCCTTTCAAGCTATGCTAAGCTGAACATGTCTCTGGCCGCGTAGAACTGGGTGAGAAATGAGCAGCTGCTTATTAGTTATAAAGATAACAGAATTGAGTCACTTTTCTGGTTGGAAAGAACAAAAAATACTTGATTGTTTTAATCCTTATAATTAATTCTTATTTTAACTTCTCAGCCACTCAGTGTTCATTTAAAATTAGGTTTTATTTCATCTGAGTATCTGATTTTATACAACAAAGCTTTGTTGTATCAGTGACTTTTGTTTAAAAACTGAGTTCTCAAATTTTGTTCTCATTCTGAGAAAGAGATTTTGATAAGACATTCAGCAAATTTTCCTGTCTTTTTTCAGTTGGCTGGAGAAACTCTTGATGAGATAAGGGTTAGGATTCAATATCTGTAGATCATACAAAATATAAGGTCACAGTCAATTCTCAGAGTCATCAGTTTACATAATGGGACCTTATGGGATCTTGTGTGTTCTAGTGATGTCCTACTGTTTCCGTTTACACAATACGATTGATGTTCTCTCTCTTTTTTATTATTATTATGTTATGTTAATCACCATACATTACATGATTAGTTTTTGATGTAGTGTTGCATGATTCATTGTTTGTGTATAACACCCAGTGTTCCATGCAGAATGTGCCCTCTTTAATACCCATCACCAGGCTAACCCATCCTCCCACCCCCCCTCCCCTCTAGAACCCCCAGTTTGTTTTTCAGAGTCCATCGTCTCTTGTGGTTTGTCTCCCCCTCCAATTTGCCCCCCTTCATTCTTTCCCTCCTGCTATCGTCTTTTTTTTTTTTTAACATATAATGTAGTATTTGTTTCAGAGGTACAGATCTGTGATTCAACAGTCTTACACAATTCACAGCGCTCACCATAGCACATACCCTTCCCAATGTCTGTCACCCAGCCACCCCATCCCTCCCACTCCCCCACCACTCCAGCAACCCTCAGTTTGTTTCCTGAGATTAAGAATTCCTCATATCAGTGAGGTCATATGATAGATGTCTTTCTCTGATTGACTTATTTTGCTCAGCATAACGCCCTCCAGTTCCATCCATGTCGTTGCAAATGGCAAGATTTCATTCCTTTTGATGGCTGAATAATATTCCACTGTACGATTGATGTTCTCTTACTGATGAGTGTAGAGAAGAAAAGGATCTAGGTTATTTTGTTTTTCACAGCCTCCAGTTCTTTA